TAGGCGACGCTTTAAAAGCTGTTACCGCTCATCAGTTTAGTGTTATCAGTGATTGATGGCCCTAAAATGATTGCTCTCACTGCGACGTTCGCGGCGATATGTAACATGTGTAGCGCAATTGTAATTTTTGCGCGCTGGGGCACCGGACGCGTATTTACGTTTATAGGCGCGTAAACGTAGGGGTGGGGGAGTTAAACATTTTGGGGGGGTTTTTTCCCCTTTTTTTATATGTGACTTTTATTTTATTTTACTTTTTTATGTGTTACTTTTATTTTTTTTTATTTATATTTATTTTTTTGCACTTATTGTTATTGCTATTATATAGGGGGATAACAACCCCCTATATAATAGCAAAGGCACACTGACAGGTCCTCTTTATGGAGATATTAGGGGTCTCTAGGACCCCTAATATCACCTGTGGACCCCAAAAGAAGCTGATGAAGCAGAGATCTGATGAAGCAGAGATGTGCCGCGAACGAGCACATATAGGCGATCGGCGGGCTATGGACCCGCTGATCGCCTATATGTGAAACACCCGGTAATGGGTGTGTTTAATCGTCGGGTCTTTTCTGCCCGTGCGTGCCCGCTAGGGGGCGCGCGCGAGCGAAAAAAATTGCCGTCTGGAGACGGCAACCCGCAGATGTAGCAGTGCCGTCCGTCCGTTTTTTTACTACGGGCGGACGGCAAGAGGTTAAAAGCTCGTACGATCTGCCCATCTTGCACATGCAGATCGTACTTGCGATCATCGAAAGCCCGCCCCGCTGACCGATGACTCCAATGCCGCACGGGCAGTGTGCGCTTGTCTCCTGAGCGCATTTGTCTCCCGAGAACGGCACTAACCCGCCGACAATCGTATGGTTTTCATGCGATTTTCTCAGCGGGTTTTCAAGCCTGCACGGGAGACAAAAGAAGTGCAACCTTACAGTTGAATTGTTTGCATGCCTTCCATACACCTGCCGATTATCGTACGATCGCAGGATTTCCTGCGATTATCGTACCATAATCGGCAGGTGTATGGGCACCTTTACACAGCTCCACACAGAGTTTCATGCTCTCCTGTGCCAGCGGCAGCCATACACACAGTTCATTCCAGTTTGCTAGCTTGCCCCCGGACTGAGCGTGCTTCGGAACTTCAGCCCAGCCCATTCCTCTTGTAACCGCACTACAACTCCCATAAGTCTCTCTGCATCACAGTGTATCAGTTAAATATTTACAAGCAGAATTATGGCCGATTCTGTAGCAACTCGTATAGGGGCTACACTGGTGTTAGGGTACATCATGAAGCTCTTAGTCTACAGTTTTCCAACCACTACTACTGTTAGGGTGTGGTTGAGTATAGTTCTGAAATCAGATCTTAATTCATGATCAGGTTATATAAGGCCACTCCTAGCTACCCTGCCATTTTGGTTTGAGCTTTTGTGGCCTGTTCACACATTTAGGTCTGGAAGCATGCATAGTTGCCTTTTATGTTACAAATTTGAACAATTAAAAAGGATACTATAACTCTATTCTTACATGCCGATAAACCTTGTCACCATGGTTCCAAAACGGTCAAAAACGTAACCAGATGGAAGGGTCATTAGATTGTTCATGAAAGCAGCCACTGTGAATATAAGAGAAAGATGTTCATCCTGTGGAAGACAGCCTGTAAAAAAAAAGGAAAAGTAAATTTTGGTTCCCTGAGAAAAGCTTTTGTTCTATCCATATACATTTGTGTAAAAGGTGAATTCTAATCGTTTGGGATCAATTTTCTTAGTTTCCAAATTTTTAAACTGATATTTTATATATTGTTAGAGTGACAGGCTCATCTCCTAGTGGCGATGATAAACCATGCGCAAGATAGGGACACGAAGGAACGGTTCAAACAGGTATATCCTGCCCTTTTATTCAGCAGGGCAGCACACAAAGACAGTATCAATTACAGCAAGTCCATAACATAGAAAAAACAAAACATCTGCTAGTCTGAGCAACATACTAATCATAGGAAGGTTTTGAACTTACAGGGTGCCCTAATAGGTCCCCCAAAACAAAGAGACAGCATATGAACCTCTTTAGTGTTCTATCAGCACTTAGCATTTTCACCCAAAAGCAGGCTCCCACAGCAGAGGAAGCGACGGAGAGAGCATATATCAGCTTACATATATGGAGGCCTGTGCACAGTTGAGAGTAATAACAAGGTCTTGCTAGCAGGTACAATGTGGACCTAGGAAAGCCACCCACCCAAAGCTCTACAAAGCTCCCAGGCTCCAGGACTCAGAACATGACTTAAGATTGACTTAAGAATTAAGATTCTGAGAAAACAAGTTTTTTTCACTATAGCAGTCACCAACCCTGGAGCTATGTGTAGGTGAGAAACCAAGTCGACACATATACACCATCGACAATCCTGTCAGCCAGTGGCTCACATACTCTCTCCCTCTACTCAGACCTCTGGGAAGAAGCACAGTTATGTGACTGGATGTTCTTCCCTACTAATTTCCTTGGGCAAGACTGCTTCCAGACCAACATCAAAGGCAATGGTTTGTACAAGAAACTCTTGACTGGAGTTGGGGCTGATTAACACTGGTCCCTAACACAATACTACATTCACCCCCAAAGCTGCCTCTTCATTTCATTTCACCACGGTGGACTTGCCCCTTTTTGAGAGCAATTAGTAGCAATATGTCTTTTCCCTTGTCTTGTCTTTTAAGAGACTCCGCCAATTCCCTATAGTAAGATTGTTAGGGCCACGGAAAAGGACGTATAGGAGTAGTGGCCCCATGGGATTGTCGCACTTCCAAAACAATAAGAAGTATTAAATAAGTTAATTTAATTATAAGCATTGGTTTTATATAAAGGGTCAATTATATATATATATTTAAAAAAAAATTATTTGGTATGTTGTCGGATGCGCTGCTGGCTCTTTTTTTCTATTTTCAGGTTGCTAAGGGCATAGCTGTATCTGGGCAGAATCAAGGGTAACGATATGACGCTTACCAATGGTTGCGGCTGTCACCGTGCAGAATCCCTGGACAGATGGCATATGGATTGGTCTTCTCGTTTTGGAGGGAAATCAGCTGGCCAATTGTGGTGTCATTAAGTGTATAAAAACTGGCCTTAGTTACTGGGCAGTTCATCTTTACCACACAGTTCAGCAGGAGTAGTCGGATCAGCTTTACCTCTGGATTGCCTGGAATTTGCTTCCCGCCCTCCCGCCCGTATCTTGGGCTTGTCGCGGTCATCCTTTGTTGGGGTAATGTCGCCCACTTTGTGGGTGGACAGGAAGTAGAGGTCTTAAGTGGTTTCATGGACTCTTTGCTCGAGTCTTTTGACTGAGCATTATTGGAATTTTATTTATGGTGGTTTATGGTTAAACGTTTTGAAAAGGTTAACAGAAATTTATTTTTTATATATATATATACGGTTATACAGGTATGTATATGTATATATGGGTTAAGAACAAAGATTGAAGGTATTTGTTTTGTTTTATAGGGAGTACAATCCCATGAGTGTGGTAGTGCACTTGGTGGGACCCAACCTTTCTATCAATGCATCTACCTAGGTTTCCTGATACATTTTTAAAGCCAAACTCCAGGAAAAATGCACTGGGTGTGTAAACTATCAATAAAGAGCTGGGTGCTATGTGTGGAGGGCTGCTGCAAAATATAAAAAAACTTACCTTGCAGCATGCTGTCTTCTGCACATAATGCCGAGCTTCTGGGCACTGAGGAGAGTGGGAGATGCAAATCAAGCAGTGAAGTGCTCCGATCACATCACCTGCCCCTCCACAAAGAAGTCTGTGATTGTAGGAGTAGAGATGATGTCACATCACTGTCCTCTCCCCTTCTCCTCCAATCACAGAATGCTTTGTATTCTTTGAAAAAAATATAAGGCATTATGCGAATAGTCCTTCCCTCATTGTACAGAAGCTTCGTGTTATGTGCAGGAGACAGCATGTTGCAAGGTAGCATATTCAGATAAATAAATCTTCACTGACACTATTTTTTCTGCCCATTATTAGTATTCATTTACTCTATGATTACTACTGAAAATAATGCTGACCTATAGAGAGGAGCATGGGGGGGGGGCTGCTGAAAAATTATACATTCTGGGTGTCAAGTACACTTGGGTTGCCACTGGAGTGGCTTTCTCTTTTAGTGCTGGTATACCTGGTAGTCGATGCTGCTTTTCTCCTTGATCTCATCGGGGTCATCCCAAGAGATGCCGGCCAGAATTTATAACCAGCATGCTAAAATCTCTGCTTCATCAGTTTCTTTGAGGTCCCTAGGTGACATTAGGGGTCTGAAAGACCCCTAATGTCACGCATTGATTGTGCATCCAGGGATAGTGATTGATTCCTAACCAAATGTAATCATATCACATACCATTACATGCGATGTGCAGGCGTTTACATGCAGCTGCTGTCACCTGATCATTAACTTGAATGGATGACAGCTGCCGCTTGTAAACGCCAGATTAGACCTTCCTGCTGCAGGAAAACGCAAGTTCCTGAAAATGCAAGTTAGAAATCCCAAATTTCACCTAAACTTACAGGTGTGACTGGAGCCTTATACACGCCCCCCATACACATATAAACAAAAAATACAATCCCCCCCTATACACATAAAAAAATTACTACCCCTGCACATATAAAATAATAAACATAAAAAAATACTACCCCTGCACATATAAAATAATATACATACAAAAATTACTATCCCTACACATATAAAATATTACACTCCCCCATACACATAAAAAAAATACCCCCACATATAAAATAATACACTCCCCCCATGCACAAAACAAATACACCCCCCACATATAAAATAAAACAACCTCCCCACCCCCTCCCTGCAGGAGAGGGGGCTCTGCAGTATATTTTATTTTATATGTACTGTATAAAGTAAAGTAAAATAAAATAAAATACAGAGCCCCCTCTCCTGCTTACCTTTTTGCAGGGAGGAGGCAAGGAGGCATGGTCCCTGGTGATCCTGTGGTGATTAGTAAGGTCTGCTGCATATTTTCGACAAGCGTTCACTGAAGGATTTCAGAGCGCTGGCCGAAAGAATCTGAGTGCACAGAGAAGCACCTATGCGGTCTGCATCTGACAGAGATGCAGACCGTGTAGATGCTCCCACAAGTCAGGTACGCGATCCGTGACCGCGTACCTGACTTGTCAGCTGGCTGCAGGCCACATAGTACCAACTTGCGGGCCGCAATTGGTCTGTGGGACGGTACTTTGAGACCCCTGCCTTAGAGGTTGTATTTCTGAGAGGGATTGCTTCTGGATACCGGGTAGCATAGTTAAGGACTACCAATATGTGCTGGTGCCACCTGGCAGACTTTCGCAATGGCCCAACCAATGGTGCATTCACTTGACACTCAGGGCAACATTAACAATACACCTCACTATCTACTCACTTTCTACCCCTAAATGACCACCCATTGCATAAGAATGGGACAGATCCAGCACCATCCTTGTGTGAGACTGGGGAATCACTAGCTGTTCTAAATCTTGCTCCCGTTCCTTCTTTACATGATACTGTAAGACATGGTATTCTGCAACATGGGAGTATACCAGGCTAACTTCTGGTTCTTGAGGTACCCCATATACAGTGGCGTCACAAGGGTGGTGCGGCCCGCACCCGGGTGACACCATTGAAGGGGTGACACCAAAATGTCTCCTCCTCCACCGGCAGGTATCAGAATACTGCTGTGCGTGCGCGATGACGTCTCGGCGGGGTGACACTTGGACACCGCTCCGGGTGTCACCCAGCCTCGGGACGCCCCTGCCCATATATCACATTTACATTTATAATGCATTTGTCAAATTGGGTTTCCGCAACTATGCAGTCCCAAAATCTTCCCTTGCTGCCAGTATAGTTGTAATTTCTGACACTGCATCAGTTTTGTCTGGTTTCCCAACCATGACCACTAGGGGAAAGTTGTCTAGCACCTGATTGAGTTTTTTTTTGCTATTTGTGTTCAGTACAATTTGACACCAGAAACCTCCACAAAGAAAGAGAGAGACACCAACATCAGGTGGTAAGAAAACTATGGGCATAGCAGAATTTACAGAAAAAAAAAATCCTGCTTGGCTGAGCTCCAACTAGAAATAGATAACTTTAAATAAAATTAGCTCCCTTGCAATAAGCATGTAAACGCCCCAACTTTAATCCAGCATCTGTGTCCCCCCACCCAGGTGCCAAAACTGGAAGTGAATTCCCTCGTCTCATGAACTTGCAGAGCCTTGCAGGCACACTGCTATCCACACAAGTGGGCTTTGTTCCATGGTTGTTTTTGTGCTAGGAGCGCACGTGAGCCCATACCCCCGGTACCAAGACTAAGCTGTCACTATCAGTGATTTTTAATCAGGAGCTGACAGGACCAGTCACTGATGATGTGATCATTGTGACAGCCAATTACAGTGATCACATGAATGGGAAGCCTACAAAACGCATCCAATGTATCTGTTTCTGCTGTGTACGTCTGTGAGGAAATAGCGCTACTTTGTACCTATGTGAAGAAGTTCTGTGGGAGCAAAAAGATTGTTTAAGATAATAAAATCAATGTACATTAGTTCAGGGCCGTAGATAATTTTTTTTCCTGGGGGGGTTCAGCTTCCTCAAATTATAAGACTTTATCTAGCAGACACAACAAGGTTTTAAAAAATATACCAGCCATATCATTCCTAAACCAATCCTTTACCCTGAGCAATACCGATTTTGTTGTTTGACACCATATGGATAAAAACCATGTTTTAAAAAGACTTATAATTGGTACCTACAAATTCACACAAACTGCTTAGTATACATTTATTGGGATTTTGTTTTACCAAAAATATTTAGCAGAATAAATTTTGGGGTAACTTTAGAAATAAATTTGGTCTTATTTGATATTTTGTATAACAAAAAATAGAAAATATAATTTTTCCCCCCACAATTTTTGGTCTTTTTTCATTTATATAAAAAATAAATAAAAAAAACCCTATAGAAAAAATGCTCTAGAATAAAATTCTGGCTCTGTTTTCAACACCTCTTGAGCTATGTTCACTTTAGATAAAGCTAACAATTTTTGCCACAGTGCACAACTCTTGATGCAATCTTTCCAGCTATTCAGTTCAGAAGGCAAACATGCTGCTCCAGGCTTAGATATTAGAAAGGTCAACATGCTGGTTAATGTTATGTCCTGAATTTACTCTATTTTACATATTGATTTGCAAATTACAAATTTTTATATAAAAAATCAACTCATGTAAACTTCAAGAAAGTTGAACAAAATGCACATCTATAACTATATTTAAACTTGCTTGAAATTTGTTTACAGGTCTTAAAAAAAGTTTTCTCTAGCATGCAAACATTTTGATGTTACACAATACTCACTGTCAGTAGAGTTGGTAGTATGATTTGCAGCATCTGGGCAAAGATCTTCAAAATATTTTTCCTTCTTTAGCACAAACACCAGAGATGCCCATCCAAAGGTAACTCCTGCGAAGCACATACACTCTACCAGCCCAGTCAGCAGAGTCAGCACAAACTTGCAATGCATCTCTACAGGATTCAAAAGCAATTTTAGAAAGGTGCATTATAAATACTTCTGTAATTTGAGATGTAATTATGTGCTGAAAGCAATAAGTAAATGCAAGTTAATTATATAAGACATCTGCTCGTAGAAACATACAGTAATCACTGAATCTAATGTGGTCCTATACCTTAAAGAAGAACTCAGAGGAAAAATGTATTAAACCTTGCATTGCAAGGGATAACTGCTTGTTTGTGTCTAGGTGCTACAAAAAAAAAAGCTATACTCTTAGACCGGTCCCTAGAGCTTCTCTTCCACTCCTCTGAATTGGTCTAAGAATCCTTGTGTCATCACGTTCTATACAATTGCAAAGACGTGAGGATGCTGAGGAGCATTCCATCGGTGCAGCGGAGGAGGAGAGAGGCTTCAGTACCTGGAGAAGCAGGGAGTCGGCTTGGCAGTTCAGGTGAGTATAACTTTTTTTGTACACCTAGACACAAAGAGCAGGTAGCCCCACTGCAAGTGTTGATAAAACTTTGCACTGGAGTTCTTCTTTAAACTTGTATATAATATTACTACTTACTAATTTTTTTCAACCGCTACAAATACATTTGAGTTTTTGTTCCTGGAGTGGATACTTTTTGGCTAGATAGATAGATAGATAGATAGATAGATAGATAGATAGATAGATAGATAGATAGATAGATATACAGTATCTCACAGAAGTGAGTACATCCCTCACATTTTTGTAAATATGTTATTATATCATTTCATGTGACGACACAGAAGAAATTACACTTTGCTACAATGTAAAATAGTGAGTGTACAGCTTGTATTGTATATCAGTGTACATTTTCTGTCCCCTCAAAATAACTCAACACACAGCCATTAATGTCTAAACCGCTGGCAACAAAAGTGAGTACACTCCTAAGTGAAAATGTCCAAATTGGGCCCAATTAGCCATTTTCCCTCCCCGGTGTCATGTGACTCAGTGTTACAAGGTCTCAGGTGTGAGTGGGGAGCAGGTGTGTTAAATTTGGTGTTATCGCTCTCACTCTCACATACTGGTCACTGGAAGTTCAACATGTCACCTCATGGCAAATAACTTTCTGGGTTTTTTTTATGTAGAGCAAGAATTGTTGCTCTACATCAGCGGTTCTCAACCTGTGGGTCGGGACCCCTTCGGGGGTCGAATGACGATTTGCCAAGGGTCGCCCGGGAGTCTCCTGCTATTAGATAGCGGCTCCCGGCCGCCTGGGAGAGAAACACTTTTTCCCGAGTAGAGTAAATCTTCTTTGTCTGACATTGGGGGCCGTAGGCCGCCGTAAGTCAGAAAAAAAAAAGTTATCCATCAGGTCCCCACTACTGATTGACAGCAGCAGAGGGCGGGTGCAATAGCTAGTTTGCTATTGGCTATTGCAAAGTGAAATAGCCAATAGGAATCTAGCTAGGCATTCCTAGGGTATTTTTTTTTTGTTTTTTTATTCTGACGGCGTACACCAGTGGTTCTCAACCTGTGGGTCGCTGTGTGATTTCTGCTGTGCTAGGTGAGAGTCCTCTTCAGCCCTCACTTAGAGCAGCAGTGTCAGTTCGCCCGCCAGATGTCGATTCAGCAGCCGCGTCATTCCTAAATTTTACTGTTGGGGGTCACCACAACTTGGCAAATGTTACCAAGGGGTAAGAAAGGTTGAGTACCACTGCTCTACATAAAGATGACCTAGGCTATAAGAAGATTGCCAAGACCCTGAAACTGAGCTGTGCACGGTGACCAAGACCATACAGCGGTTTAACAGGACAGGCTGCACTCAGAACAGGCCTCGCCATGGTCGACCAAAGAAGTTGAGTGCGCCTGCTCAGAGTCATATCCAGAGGTTGTCTTTGGGAAATAGACATAAGAGTGCTGCCAGCATTGCTGCAGAGGTTGAAGGGGTGGGGGGTCAGCCTGTCAGTGCTGAGACCATACGCCGCACACTGCATCAAATTGGTCTGCATGGCTGTCGTCCCAAAAGGAAGCCTCTTCTAAAGATGATGCACAAGAAAACAGTTTGCTGAAGACAAGCAGACGAAGGGCATGGATTAATGGAACCATGTCCTGTGGTCCGATGAGACCAAGATAAACTTATTTTGGTTCAGATGGTGTCAAGCGTGTGTGGCGGCAACCAGGTGAGGAGTACAAAGACAAGTGTGTCTTGCCTACAGTCAAGCATGGTGGTGGGAGTGTCATGGTCTTGGGCTGCATGAGTGCTGCCAGCACTGGGGAGGTACAGTTCATTGAGGGAACCATGAATGCCAACATGTACTGTGACATACTGAAGCAGAGCATGATCCCCTCCCTTCAGAGACTGGGCCGCAGGGCAGTATTCCAACATGATAATGACCCCAAACACACCTCCAAGATGACCACTGCCTTGCTAAAGAAGCTGAGGGTAAAGGTGATGGACTGGCCAAGCCTGTCTCCAGACCTAAACCCTATTGAGCATCTGTGGGGCATCCTCAAACGGAAGGTGGAGGAGCGCAAGGTCTCTAACATCCACCAGCTCCGTAATGTCGTCATGGAGGAGTGGAAGAAGAATCCAGCGACAACCTGTGAAGCTCCATGCCCAAGAGGGTTAAGGCAGTGCTGAAAAATAATGGTGGCCACAGAAAATATTGACACTTTGGGCCCAATTTGGACATTTTCACTTAGGGGTGTACTCACTTTTGTTGCCAGCAGTTTAGACATTAACCTTCCTGGTGGTAATTCAGAGTGTGGCTCAGGGTTAATTTTCAGTACCAAAAGCAGTAACCCCGAGCCACACTCCGTCTTCCGGTTTCCTTACATTGCGAGTGCCCGCGCCGCAGGGAGGCGGAACCAGCGGCAAAATTAAATGTAAATAGAAAAAAGAAAAAAAAAGAGAAAAACAATACTGAGATAATCAGACCGTCAGGGAGGTTAATGGCTGTGTGTTGAGTTATTTTGAGGGGACAGCAAATGCACACTGATATACACTGAGTGGCCAGATTATTATGACCACCTGACATTTCTAGGCAAATTAGCTATAATTTCGCGCTGAAGTTGCTAGAGGGCCAGACCATTATAAATAGGGAAGCAGGTTGTTTACCACGACAGTAGAAGTGATTTCTTTCTGAAGAAATGGGTAAACAACGCGATTTAACAGCCTTTGAACGTGGGGTGATTGTTGGCGCTAAAGCCATGGAGCGAGTATCAGCAAAACAGCAGAATTCGTTAAATGTTCAAGAGCAGGTGTTGTTAAAGTGTTTAAAGACTGGACTGTCAGCCTAAAATCTGGGTCTGAACGTGCGAATTGTGGCCGTCAGCGACTAGTCAATGTTAGGGCAGAACGGAGAGTGGTAAGACTGCTACAAGACAACAGAAGGGCAACAGTGCAGTGTCAGATTCCTCGCATCACCTTTCAACATCTCGTGGAGTCACGGGGCAGCCCAACAAAGTCATCTCGTGGAGTCGTCTCGTGGCTCAACAAAGTACTGATGGGGAGGTCATAATAATCTGGCAACTCAGTGTACAAGCTGTACACTCACTACTTTACATTGTAGCAAAGTGTAATTTCTTCAGTTTCGTCACATGAAATGATATAATAAAATATTTACAAAAATGTGAGGGGTGTACTCACTTCTGTGAGATACTGTATATACATACACTATATTGCCAAAAATATTGGGACACCCATCCAAATCATTGGATTCAGGTGTTCCAATCACCTCCGTGGCCACAGGTTAATAAAATCAAGCACCTAGGCATGCAGACTGCTCCTACAAACATTTGTGAAAGAATGGGTCGCTCTCTGGATCTCAGTGAATTCCAGCGTGGTACCGTGATAGGTTGCCACCTGTGCAATAAGTCCATCCATGAAATTTCATTGCTACTAAATATTCCACGGGTCAACTGTTTGTGGTATTATAACAAAGTGGAAGCAACTGGGAACAACAGCAACTCAGCCACAAAGTGGTAGGCCACGTAAAATGACAGAGCGGGGTCAGCGGATGCTGAAGCGCACAGTGCGAAGAAGTCGCCAACTGTCTGCAGAGTCAATAGCTACAGACCTCCAAACTTCATTGGCACAACAACAGTGTGTAGAGAGCTGCATGGAATGGGTTTCCATGGCCAAGCAGTTGCATCCAAGCCTTACATCACCAAGTGCAATGCAAAGCGTCGGATGCAGTGGTGTAAAGCATGATACCACTGGACTTTAGAGAAGCGGTGACGTGTTCTCTGGAGTGACTAATCATGCTGCTCTTTCTGGCAATACGATGGGCGTGTCTGGGTTTGGCGGTTGCCAGGAGAACGGTACTTGCCTGACTGCATTGTGCCAAGTGTAAAGTTTGGTGGAGGGGGGTTATGGTATGGGGTTGTTTTTCAGAGGTTGGGCTTGGCCCTTTAGTTCCAGTGAAGGGAACTCTTAAGGCACCAGCATACCAAGACATTTTGGACAATTTAATTGGTCCCAACTTTGTGGGAACAGTTTTGGGATTGCCCCTTCCTTTTCCAACATGACTGCGCACCACTGCACAAAGCAAGGTCCATAAAGACATGGATGAGCGAGTTTGGGGTGGAGGAACTTGACTGGCCTGCACAGAGTCCTCACCTCAACCCGACAGAACACCTTTGGGATGAATTAGAGCGGAGACTGCGAGCCAGGCCTTCTCGTCCAACGCCAGTACCTGAACACACAAATGCGCTTCTGGAAGAATGGTCAAACATTCCCATAGACACACTCCTAAACCTTGTGGACAGCCTTCCCAGAAGAGTTGAAGCTGTTATAGCTGCAAAGGGTTGGCCAACTCAATATTGAACCCTACGGACTAAGACTGTTATGCCATTAAAGTTCATGTGTGAATACTCTTGACAATATAGTGTGTGTGTGTATATATATATATATATATACATACAGAGTGGCCAGATTATTATGACCACCTGACGTTTGTAGGCAAATTAGCTATAATTTCGTGCTGAAGTTGCTAGAGGGCCAGACCATTATAAATAGGGAAGCAGTTTGTTTACCACGACAGTAGAAGTTATTTTTTTTCTGAAGATATGGGTAAACAACGCGATTTAACAGCCTTTGAACGTGGGATGATTGCTGGCGATCAGAGCCATGGAGTGAGTATCAGCAAAACAGCAGAATTTGTTAAATGTTCAAGAGCAGCTGTTGTTAAAATGTTTAAAGACTGGACTGATGGGCTGAAAATCTGGGTCTGAACGTGCGAATTGTGGCCGTCAGCGACTAGTCAATGTTAGGGCAGAACGGAGAGTGGCAAGACTGGTACAAGACAACAGAAGGGCAACAGTGCATCAAATTACTGCAGATCTTAATCAGGGATCCTCTCAAATTATCTCTGAACACACTGTTCGCCGTACACTGCATCGTATGGGATATGGAAGCCTAAGGCCTGTTAGAACACCTTTGCTGTCTGCAGTTAACAATAAGATAAAACGTCTCCAATTCGCACAGGAACACAAGGATTGGACAGTCGAGCATTGGAAAAAAGTCATGTAGTCATGCAGATGGCAGAGTGAGAATTTGGCATACACACACACACACATATATACATCTATAGATATATATAGATATAGCTATAGATATATATAGTGTTTTATTATGTTGTATTATGTTCCCAGGGACATTTAAAGATGTCCCTAGTAGTTATTGAACACACTGTAGAGACTAGCCACTGTGGGCTACTGCAGAATCCCTGGAAGCTGTTCTTTGAGATGTTACCACCCATTTTCTGTGCAGACAGAATCTGGAGCAGTTTCCCTTGGCAACCAATCAGCTTCTCTCTTCAGTTTGTTCAGTTAAGATTTGAAAATGAAATAGAGAAGCAGATTGGTTGTCATGCATAGCTGCTCCAGATTTTGTCTGCTCCTTCGATAAATTTCCCTCTGTGAAATCTAGTCACTGAGGGGTTTATGCACATACACAGGAAATAAGAAGAATTTCTTCTTTAAATACATATAGCGTAAAAAGTAAAACACCTGTTTCGGAAGTCAGTGGGCTCTTTGTTCAGGAGCTCTTCAATAAAATCTAAAGAGAGAAGATAACACAAAATTAATTAATTTGTTTGATATATTCCACATGACTCTACAAATAAAATTCCCCTAAAACAGTTTACAATCCAATGATGCTACCGCTGTCAGACTAGGCATTGCGGTTTAAGTTTTTCCTCATATTGATAGATTTCCAAATATTAAAGTGTATGTAAACCTTAAATTCTATTTTTCAGAATATTTGTCCCACTGTGTACAATTTTGTTTTCTTAATCTGTTGCAAAATCTCTTACCTAGTGATCCTGCCAGTAACAGCACTTCCTCTTGCACACTGACAATCCTAAGCCACTGCCTCACAACTAGTTGAGGCATTGTCAGCCAGCCATGAGCATTCCTATAATTAACTGTTGGGCTGACTATCAGGTCTGTCCTGAGCTGGATTTAGGGGAACTGATGCCCTAAGTACAGCCCAACCATTGTGCCCCTCTTGGCCCCTCCTGTTCACTTTGCAAGAGAATTTGCACTTTGCACAGGAAGTTTCCATTTAGCTTAGTGAATGAGGGGGGCATGGCCGGTGGCTACATGTGACTGGACGTGTAACGGAGAACTCCCGCTACCTGACTCCTGAGAACTCCTGACTACATCCTGGGAACAACGGATCCTGCGCCTTTATATCCTTCTGCACTTACCCCGGACCCTTTCGCCACCCGACCGTTCCGTCTGGTGCCACTCTAGAGGCTGTACGTGGCTGACATGTCCAAGAAAAACAACAGTCAGCGGACAGATCTTGGGATCCAAGATGGCGGCGGCCCGCAGCCCAGAGAGAAGGGCATAGATACAGCGACGCGGCTGGAGCGCTTTGCTCGGCAGCCTGCTACCCCTGCTAAGCAGCCTCAAACCTCCCAGCCCAGACAGGGCAGTGCCAGCGGGGAGCATGAGGATGACTACCTCTCCTCCTCTATGCACTCGGCGGTGGATTCGGACATTTCAGCTGCTGAACGGGACACAGTGAGTACCCATGCTAAACCTGTTAAAAGCCCTAAAGCTAACAAATCTAAGTCTATGGCACGCCTGGCTGCATCCCCAGAACCTACATGTCCTTGAACTGGAAAGAGTCCAGTGGAGGGCAACAAAACTAATTAGGGGAATGGAGGACCAGAGCTATGAGACAAGGCTTCTGACCTTAAACATGTTTACGCTGGAATTAAGGAGATTAAGGGGGGGATATGATTTTCATGTACAAGATGTTCAATGGTGACAGCAACATTGGCAACAAACTGTTTGAGATTAACTCCATTACAAAGACTAGAGGCCACCACTTAAAGTTGGTGGAGAAAAAATTCCAGCACAATGGGCGAAGAGGGTTCTTTACAGTAAGAGCGGTTAAGTTCTGGAACTGACTGCCATCGGCAGTGATTTCAGCCAAGAGTGTAGATTTGTTCAAGAAACGTTTGGACAATTTCTTGAGGGACCGTAATATCCAGGGATACCAGTATCCCTAAGAATGAGATGATGCGTGGACCTATATGGGTTGGACTTGATGGACGTATGTTTTTATTCAACCCCAAATACTATGTAACTATGTACACTATCAGACGTATTCAATGCTGTACAGTTATGCAACACCTCCCTTGCCTCGCTCACTGATCAGGTGCATGGCGCTGAGAGCCGACATCTCCTTCCTACGCCATGACCTACAGGAGGTAAGGGAGCGAACGACAGCATTGGAGGGCAGAGTTAGTGAAGTTGAGGATTCCACTGCGCCATTGATCACAGAGGTTAAAGGGGCAATGAAGACATTTGCAGTTAATGCCATGAAAGCTGATGATATCGAAAAATCGGTTGCGCCGCAACAATATCTGCGCGGTTGGTATACCTGAACGCGCTTAAGGCAACAATGCTACATACTTTATGGAACAATGGCTTATGGAGGTGTTTGGCAAAGACTGTTTGGCCCCTTTATTTGCAGTGGAAAGGGCTCATTGTGTCCCTTCCAGACCCCTACCACCGGGTAACCCTCCTAGGCCCCTCTTGATCAGGCTCCTGAACTACCGCGACAAGGATCGCATCCTACGCAAGGCGAGGGAACTGGGAGAGATATGGCTAGCTGGCTGGAAGATTGTTATTCCCGGACTTTTCGCAGGATGTCCAACAACGCCGTGCCAAATTCCATGAAGTCAAGAAGAGGCTACAAAAGATGAATCTGGCCTACTCCATGATATACCCTGCAAGGCTCCGTGTTGTGGCGAATGGTGAGACACACTTCTTTGAATCACCTCCACAGGCCTCGCTCTGGCTGGATCAATACCGCAACCACCGCTCTGATGTCACCTGAGGCTTCTGTTCTTTCTGCGCTGCATACTGTTACTGCCTGGAGTTCATCGTGGCGGCGGTGTTGTTGGATCACCACATTCCCCACTGATCCTGGATCAGAGCTCTCCGTGGCTCTCCCCCTTTTTTTATTCGGAGACCTTCACAACTCCCCTTTCTTTTTGTTGGGCTTTTTCCCCCCTTTTTTTTTTGGTTGTGTTGGTTGCTCTACCCGCGGCCATTTGTGACCCTTATTGCATGCAGTGGCGTAACAACAGGTGTAAGGTAACACATTTTTTTAAAATAAAATCCGGGGACATTTTTAAATGTCCCCGGGAACATAAAATAAAACTTTTTATTTTAATACTACTCACCTGATTCCTGGATCCAACAAGCACAGCCCCCCCGTCTCCCACGCTGTTAGAAGTTGCATACAGCGTATGCAACTTGGCTGGATTTGCATATATATGCACTGCTCAGTACCGAGGGGACCTGGCCACTGGACTTCCGACACTGGCTGATGAGTATATTTCTGTTCTCTAACCCATGCCACAGCGAGTGTTTAAGATAGCCTCCTGGAATGTCAGAGGCCTGGGAGATATCGCTAAACGTCGCTCTATATTTGATAATATTGACAGGAGTGGACCCTCTGTTGTCTGCCTGCAGGAGACGCATACCACCATAGAAACGTGTCATTTACTGGATAGGCGAGCCTACCAGGCCACCTACCACTCCTCTCACTCCCGCGGAGTCTCCATCCTAATACGCAGAGATATCCCATTCTCCTGCATACAGGCACAGAGGGACACTACAGGGCGCTATATTTTTTTACATTGCCGTCTATTGCATTTTGAATGTATTATTGCCAATTTTTATATACCTCCACCATATTCCAGTAGAGCTATTAAGGACTTCACTAAATTTTTACTGGATAAGCTCCCTATCCCGGTCATAGCTGTGGGTGATTTCAATATGTGTATGGACCCTTATCGTGACAGGTTCCCTAGCGTTGGTTCGGCTGACTCACCGATTAATACCCCTTTTGGTAAACTATGCTCTGAACTGGGCCTCCTTGATCTTTGGCGTTTGTTCCCCCCTTCAGAGTCTCAGTATACCTGCTACTCTAGCACGCATGGAACATTATCCAGGGTTGACTATGCTCTGGGCATGCATGAAATGCTCCCATTTATAAAATCAGTGGATATTCAGACTAGATGCCTCTCAGACCATTCTATGATCCTTTTAGGCCTGTCCTCGGGCAGACGTTTATCGGTTAGCTGGAAACTGCATCCCTTCTGGTTGTCCCTGATAGATAATCAAGCACTGTTGGAAGGCGACATATCATTTTTCCTGTCGGTCAATACCTCGTCTGCCCCTCTGGGGGTGGTGTGGGACACCCTCAAAGCATACTTGCGGGGCCTGTTTATTAAAAACGTTAGTTATATTAAATCCTCTTCTAGACGTGCAGAAGAGTGGCCCGCCAGTTGGTGGCAACAAGAGAGGTGGAGTACGTAAGGGACCCCTCTGAGGATTCTTGCCGTGGGTGGCAGGAGGCGGGGGCGCACCTGGAGACCCTGCTTAAGCAGAAATCACAGCGCAAACTGCTCTTTTCAAAACAAGTGTTTTGGGCGGAGGGTAATGCTGCAGGCAAACTACTTGCCCAAATTGCCCGCGCCCAACAGGACACTACACATATTGGGGCAGTCATTGATCTCACTGGTGCTACTACTCGAGACCCTGAAGTGATAGTGGACATGTTTGGTGGCTTCTACAAAAACCTATACACCTCCAGAGCGCAGTATACGGAGGCTGAGCTAACGGCCTTCCTGGGCAGTATAACTTTGCAGAGGCGGATAGATCTGCCCTGGAAGCACCGATCACTGCAGAGGAGTTAGAACAGGCACTTAGCACCTTTCCTAATTAAAAGGCCCCCGGTCCAGATGGCCTTCCTATGGAAGTGTACAAGAAATACATGCACTCCCTCCTCCCTACCTTACTCCTGACATTTAATGACGCCCTCTCCAGAGGTAAACCCCCGTGTACAATGTATGAACTAACCATTATCGTACTCCCTAAGAAACACAAAAACCCTCTCCTACCAGAGTCATACCGGCCAATTTCTTTACTGAATGGCGACATAAAGATTTTGGCGAAAGTGCTAGCGAATAGGCTTTCCTCCAAGATCTCCTCGGTAGTGCATCCAGACCAGTCTGGCTTTATGACTCAGAAATCTACAGCTGTAAATATCCCCAGGGTTTTTATGAACATGCAAACCACAATTGATAATCCGGGAAACAGGTCTCTACTGGCCCTAGATGTGGCGAAAGCTTAGTGAATGAGGCGCATCTCTGCTGATTTCCACTATCCAATCATGTTCAAGTGAAAATACTGTTTTTTTATTTACATAATTGGGAATTCTTTGCAAAATTAAATTTCACCACATTCACATTCCCTGCAAAGTGCAAATTGCATTGCAAAGTGAACAGCCTATTTGCCTTTAGTAAATCGACCCCAAGACTCAATAGTGCTGAAAGTGAAATATAAGGGTCAAAATGTATAAACTTTCTTCAGTTTTCTCTTTTGGGTCAGCCTCAGGCCAAACTCCACAACTATATTGTATAAAAACTATTTCATTCTATTTACCAGATTGGAAAAGGATAAGATTAAAAAAAAAATTCGAACAACTGACTATGGCCTTTTATTTTGAAATGATGAGGCAAATATTTTAAAAAAAATGATAATTAAAAATTAAGAGGCCTGTGGGGCATATCTGCTTTTGTCTTCCGGCCAGGAAGCTTTTACTTAATTTTTTATTTTAATTTTTATGCTACTTAATTGCTAATCTAATCCTGGGTCTATCAGATAGACAGTCCCACTGCCAACTGATTTATGGCATTTACCATGCTGCTGTTAAATGCAAGCCAGCGATGTAGCGTTATTAGTCTCTGACAGGTTGCTTGGTAAATGACCTCCGGTGTCTTCCCAGATGACAAAGATTTGTTAGAGATGCATAAGAGCAGATGGAACTTTACTCCATATCTTTTGGGAGGGCCCACTATTAA